ACTCAATGTGGGCAGGCGGATACTCTTTAAAGTAGCCAAAAACATCCTGAGTGCTCATGTTATCGACTCCACTCATGTGTAGGGCTTCCAGACGCACATTCGGGATCGCTAAAGAGAGAGTGGGAGAGATGTTTAAGGGATAGTTCACTAAAAATGAACACTGGGTCATCATATTCTCAACCTAACATTGTTCCAAACCTATATGGATAATAATCATAATACATTTAACAAAATAATACATTTTTAAAAAAGTTGTTTCTGGTCTGTGCAGCTGCTTTTAACAACGAAATAAATTTTGTACACACTTTCCACAACATATCAATGTGACAACACTTTTCATGAATACTCATAAATGAGAAAAAGTCGCAAGATTTCAAGGTTATTTCTGACAACACAAAAAAATTGAAATGGGCTGGAAGTCATGATTAAACAGAAGAAGCGACAGATCTTTTCTTCTGTGTTGTAACGTACATCCAAGTGTAACAGATTATTGAAGATGAAAAATGTAAACTGAACACTTGTTCCATGCATCCATTGTTGACTGGATTTTAAGATGTGAGGGTTTTTAGTGGAGGCAGATGAATGAGAGCTTCCAAGTACAGGTTTAAACAGACTAAATGATTGGAAAAGTCCTGCACAGTGCACACATCACCAAAGACAAGTCTGGTGTATTCGCCATAAGGCCCAGGTCATGACAGTTTGATTACATTTTTTTTTTTTAGCTAGCTTTCCATTTTTTCTATTCTATCTACTTGTTTTTCTTTGTGTGTGTTCTGACCGTGTGTATATAATATATATATATATATATATATACACCTTGCTACGTGTACTGCATTAGGCTAACCGAGACTTGTCATTTGCACTTATATATTGTTGCTCTTTTGTTAGTTTTGACTGCTTTTATTGTCCTCATTTGTAAGTGGCTTTGGATAAAAGCGTCTGCTAAATGACTAAATGTAAATGTAAACATTACAAGGTCAGAACACTCTTTTTAAATTAAACACGCACATATGAATTGCTCACAATATGATGTATAACATGCATTTGAAAAACAGACTGGGTGAATTTTAATTTCATGCCGACTTTAAATCAATTGTTGAGCTTTAGCGGTGTAAGATTTCTTACCTTTCTTCATCAAATCCCGGTCTAGAACAACATTCCTCTGCGCCAGATTTTCCTCTGCGCGAAAATGAAATCTTCTCGCTCGCTTCTCCTTTTTCTCTATGGCCTCCTGAACACGTACAAATGTTGTGGACAACAGGTACATTAGTAGACCGGCTGAAATATTCACACAACCAGCTGACACTTACCTGAGACGTGACATCGATTCCAGTGATAAAGGTGCCAGCCTTATTTTCATAGCGTCTGCTGGTGTCCTGTAGAAATCGTACAGATATCCATGTGATCAGCACACACAACAGAAGCTTTTCACTTGTTAGATTCAAGGTGATCACCTTTTCTACAATATCTACAATGCTTTGTACTGTCTAAATAAACCAGAATAATTTCAGTTCTTAACCAATTAGTATAGAAATAACAGTGCGCCAAATGAAAAGTCTGTTAGTATTAGGAAACTTGGGCCAGAGAATTACATCACTTTTCCAAGATCCTTCTAAACAACAGACCATCACTACACATTATGCAAATGTAGCATAACCCACCATAAACCCATTACCATAACCTGTTCAAAAGTAGGAATAGTGGCCTAGCTCTGAACTCACCACGTTGGCTTCACCAACGACAGGCTTACTGTACTACGCGAGGCCGTGGCTTGAAAGAGGCCTACGGACTAACGTAACTCACCGGCAACAGCTCATTTAAACTTCGGCGAACAGGGATGGGCTCCAGCTCTAGCTCTGGCTCACCCTCCTCCACCTCCATGGGCTCCGCTTCCCGGGCATCTCGATCCGAGTCTGATTCCGAGTCTGACTCTGACCGATCGGACGCGCTTTCCGACTTCACAGACACCCGCAGGCTGCGCACCGCCGCCATGATCACTCACTAAAACGAGCTCGCGGCTAACGGCTAACTCTCAATGAAGTGAACTCAGCCTCGCGCTAGCTGTGCTAACACTGCTCTCGAGCCTCGCGACACTTAGGTCTCAATCTCCGACACACACACACACACACACACACTTATGCTTCTGTTGTTCATCCTTGCATTTAATCATTATTCTTCCATTGCTAAGACAAGATACAGCTTTCACTATCCCTATCTCTTTCTCAATTGCTTTTGACAGTTTAACAGGATGAGTTTGTTGTTCTGACTGCTTAGCAAAAGTAATTATCACTTTGATTTCTCTTTCTTCAACCTCTTTATCAGCTTCAATTCTCGTATGTCTTACTTTATTAATTGTTTGCTCACAATCAGATCCATCACCCATGCTTCTCTTTTTTTTCCTTTTACTGTATCTTACTTCCTGAAAATCCATGTCTTGATCATTGTCGCCATCCGAAGTATCTCCCCACGCCAACGACGCCATTCAACTGCCGCTCGTGCGTCAATCGCCGAACCTCATTCATATTTAGGATTTAATGTATTTTTATTTGAGTCAGAGAGAAATAATCCTAATATTAAAGAGTAATCAGTGTAATTATTTGTCCAGTCTGCTATAGTAGTAAATGTTAATTAAAATAATTTCAAAATAATAAAAGCACAATCAGAAAAGCTTTAGGGACTTATAATCACAAATAGTTATTGGGAATGATTTCAGGGGCCAGTAGGATCTAGTATAATGCATTTTACATCAAAATAGGCCATAAAAACAGATGTTGTTTTTTTTTGGTTTGCTTTTTTTGTTTTTATGATGCCTTTTAGGCCTACTTGATTTTATTCTCTTATGTATGCGTTTTGTTCCCAGTTTGTTTTTCTCACCAATAGAAGTTTGCTTCAAAGATACTATATAAAAAAATAAAAACAATTAATATACAAATCATGCTTTTTTGTGATACAACAAGTTTTACTTCACTGTCTCTGACAAACAGTGGCACTGGTTCATATTATTGTAATTTAGAGATTTTTAGCCTGGGGTCCACAAGATGGTTCTAGGGGGTCTGTGGAAAGGTTCAGAGACTATTGTAAATAATAAAATAAATGAGAATTTATTCTAAATTATTTTAACAAAGGGTTACACTTTATTTTATGGTGTCCTTGTTACAGTGTAACTGGTACTGAGTAATATTAATTAACTACATGTTCTTACTATATGATTAGGGTTTGGCTTAGGGTTACTTGCATGTAATTATACATAATTAATTGTTATTATAACAGTAAGTACATGTAACATGTGTAACAAGGACACCTTAAAGCAAAGTGTTACCTAATAAAGCTTTTATTATAAAAAGCATAAATTGTCGAGATGGTCCTCACTGCAGAACACAAGATCCAGGGGGCGAGGCTTTGTTCTGCAGTGAGGGGCTACTGAAATTGTCTGGCCTTAAATTATAAAATATAAAACAATCTACAGTTTGAAAAAAAAAATGGCATTTTAAATGCCATATTAAAAATAGTTCATATGTTAGTTCTAAAGTTTGTTTGCATCAGTTGTTTGCAGTATCCATTTATTTATTTACCTTAATGACATTCATGCAGGAAGTATTACTATTAATATGTACATAAGTGTGGTTTAAGCATCCAAATAATTTTTGGGGCCAATGTATGTCTGTACATCCTGTCATACATCGCTGTTTATCAGATTGAAAGGCCCTGCCTTACATATTGTTGCAAAAGTTGTAAGAGGCCCAGTAAATTATACAGTCAGGGGTTGTGTAGCTACAGCATGGCTCACAAATGGAACAAAGGCTTCAAAATACAATATTTTATTTAACAAAATCAACATTGCCATACAGAAACCTTTACACGTGTAGCAGTACAATCATAGAGAAATAAATTAGCACAGCTCTTTTTGTTAAGCCCGTTCACGTTTGAACTCACGTGACTTAATGCATGCTCTCATTCACGTCCTCCACATATATAACCCAGCAACATCGGCTTATTACTGATATCAACCCAAATTGGGTCACATCAAGCCAGCTTCCTAACCCAACAGTCTCAACCGAGCGTTTGGATTGAAACAATTACCAGCGTGTTTTATATGTGTAGGCTATAAAAAAGTACACAGTGTATGTTTTTGCTTAATCGCTTGCAAATATAAGAGGTCATACATACCCTGTAATATTAGAATAGGTACCCCTTAGTTTCAAAATACTTACAGTAGAAATAATTTGTAATTTTACAGATTATTACTCCTTTATTCTCCAAACTTCGCATATTGTTACCTTATACCTACACGGAGGTACTGAATAGGTACACTGTAATTACAAAATAGTTACGCTGTAAATTCTGTTTACTTACGCAGTACATTGCGGGTTGTAATCTAAAGCGTTACCAGCAATTTATACTATAAGGAAACAAAAAATAATTTGACCAAAGACCAGAATGGAGAAGTCCCTTTAAAAGTGTTACATTTCACACGTTTCAGCTGTTTGTGACAATAATGGTTTATTCTTCTGTGATCCATGGAATATACATAATAAATATATACACATATGAGTGGTTTTCTAATATACACAGGATTCAGTCATGGAAGTATCCATTTAAAAAAAAGTTTAGTACTTCAAGTTTTATTCTAATAATATATATTATAAATAACTCTTCAGGGAACACAGTAGCGGCTGTAAACATCTCCAAACAATGCCTGATTTTAGGGCAGATTTTCAGGGATTGCACAAGTGTGAGTGTTACAGAGGAAAGCAATGTTGTGCTAGCCTATTTTATTATTATTTGACCACTCTAGTGCATTTTAGATTGATTTGTTATTAAATTAATTTGTATAATGATATCTTCCGTGGCCAGTTTCATGAATGTTTTTCCAGCTGTCATAGGGCCGGTCAAGTGCATTTATGTGAGTCTCAAAATACTGTGGAATGTTTCAGGTGCTGGGTATTTTGTTAATTCAAATAAAATGTGTTGTTTTATTACTATTAAGTGTGGATAGTTACTATTACTGACCTGCTAATCCAAGTTTGTATTTTATTAACTCATAAAATATTGGATTATTTATTTTATTTCTTTATGTTTACTGTGAAAGACTTCAAAATGTGCAAAATCAATAAATGTGCCAAGTCAGTACCAGTTGACCACCTGCAGAAACTAGAGGAGATGCTAACTGTGTGCTTACGCGTGTGTGCTTATTGCTGTGATGTTCAGATTGGGAGCATAGGCTTGAGTGATGGGTCCCTCCTTAAATTCTCTCCTTCTCAAGTCCTGACAGTGTTTGATCTTCAGTGCTGATCCATTGCTTTTCTGGATGGAGAGTTTAAGGGGTTAGTAAATACCAAATAAGAAATATATTTTTGACATGAACATAACTTAAAAAGAATCTACGATTATGAGAGTGCTTTTTATGGCCCATTACAGATATACTGAGAGGTTGTGCTACGAATAATCATTGTCCATCACTCTGATGGATGCTTGTAAATTTCCATCATGCTCTATTTTATTCCATCAGTAAAATATTGAAATGCTAGGTATTTTAATGTGACTTTTATATATCACAAGAACGTCTGTGGCAACAGCTCTTTTTGTATTAGCAAGAGCTGTGAGTTGTGGGTTCTTGGCTTTTTCCGCCATTATTGAGAGTAACACGATGCATGCGCATGATGCTGCTGACGTAGAACATGCATGCGCTGCGCCTTGTTTACGAGCAAAGGAAAGCATGCGCATGCGTTGTGTTACTCTCCATAGTGGTGGTAGATGGTAACTCGGGAGAGAATAATTGTTGAATAAAGTTGTTATTTTAGTTTTTTTGCGCACAAAAAGTATTATCATAGCTTCATAAAATTATGGTTGAACCACTGATGTCACATGCACTATTTTGTCGAGGTTCTTGGTACCTTTCTGGGCCTTAAACGTGGAATGACCCTTGCTGTCTTTGGAGGGTCAGAAGGCTCTCAGATTTCATCAAAAATATCTTAATTTGTGTTCCGAAGATGAACGAAGGTCTTACAGGTTTGGAACGACATGAGGGTGAGTAATTAATGACAGAATTTTCATTTTTGGGTGAACTATCCCTTTAACTCATGTCTCTCTCCTGGTCTATTTTTGCAGGGGAGTTTAAAAATCAGCATTCTTTATCTTTACTGTGAAAATGTTTCTTAAGCAGGAAAACACATCACACCAGATACGTTTTTTATCTGTTAAAAATGACAAAAAAAAGAATGCGAAACTATCTGTAAATGTTCTCAAAATGTTATAAATCCGAGGTTTTTAAACCCTGTCTGAGGACCCCATGGGCCGCAAAACATTCTAGGGAGTTCATGGAAAAGTTCTGAGAAAAATAAAACAAAAAACAAAATATAAACTCATTTTAAAAAACTTCCTTTTTTCTGAAGTTGACTTTTAAAAATTTGTATCCATTATTTTGAACTCACACACTCACTTCAAAACCAGACACTGCAAAAACTGTCATTAAAGAGACATCAAGGCAATTTTAAGCAAACTGAAACACAGGGTGTACATAATATTTGTGCAATATTGTATGTCTTCTCTTAAAGGATAAAATATGACATTTCTGAAGAAAATGGTTAGAAAAATTATAATTATCATCAATTATATGTACCCAAAATGATAGAACGACTAAATGAGTCTTCAGACATGAAATTAAAAGCTGTCTTTATCATTTAGGAAGGAGGTTACAATGGGAATCATCAAATTTGGGGGTCTGTGGCATCAAAAAGTGTGAACAATTACGAAATAATAATTTCAGTATATGCAGCCTCTGGTTTTACTTCTCCCCCAAGACTATGTGCCATTTATGAATTACATGAGTAACTTACAATGGTTCTGGTCATCTTTGACGTTCTCTTTGCTAATGTCCCTGTGAAATAAGAATTCAAAGTCACCAACCAATGATTAAACTTACATTAAAACACACACAGTCAACCAAATGACTAAACAACCAAAGAAACACTACAGAGAATGATAGAGAATGAAAGAGCAACAACAAAGTCATAGGATGAAGTCTTACAGCAGTGGATTGGCTCAATCTGTCAAAGTGGAACTTCAGATTGGATCTGGGTGAGGTCTTATTCCTAAAATCTATTAATAGAGAGATATGCAAAAACATATAACTCATTAAGCTGTAAATTTTGAATTCAAATGTCGAATGTGAGGGAAGCATCTCAAATACCTGTTGGACTGCGGCACATGATCACTGGCGTTCCTGCGCCCTGCCCCTCTGTGCTCAGAGAGCCAAAGACTGGTGAGAGACTAGGAGAAATCTGGAGGCTGCTCTGAAGACATGAGAGAACAGACTTAACATGCACACTTCTTACAGCAACATTAATGAACATGAAGACACATTTACATACAGGTTCTTTCTCCTCCAGAGTCTCTGGGTCTCCTGCAGCACTGCTGAAGCTGCTGGTGCTGGAGGAGGATCGAGAGATATCTGGTCTTCCACTGACCTCCTTCAGCTTGAGAGATGGCCTGTAAAAACAGAGAGGAAAAAAAAAGAAAGAAAGTATTATTAGCTATTAAGAATACACATTTATTAAGTACCAGTAACGAAACAGAAAATTTACCTCTCATTGCTCAGGATCTCTGGAGAGCTAGGATTGGACGACGTCTCTGATCTCACTTCCTGTGACAGATGACCATTATCTAGACTTCTTTGATCATATAGGACACTAAAATGACAGACAAACCAAAGAAAAATACATGTATCAATTGTTGAGCATTTTAGAGCATGTGTGTATGTGTGTGTGTGTGTGTGTGTGTAATGTGTTTGCAGTGCTGTCAAAGTGCACTTAAAGGGATCGCTCACCCAAAAATGAAAATTCTGTCATTAATTACTTACCCTCATGTGGTTCCAAACCCATAAGAACTCCGTTCATCTTCGGAACATAAAGATATATATTTTTGATGCATTCTGTGAGCTCTCTGACCCTCCCATAGACATCAAGTGTCCTTACACGATCAACGTCCAGAAACGTAGCAAGGAGATCGGTAAAATAATCCATGTGACATCAGGGGTTCAACCGTAATTTTACAAAGCTACGAAAATACTTTTTGCGCGCAAAGAAAACAAAAATAACGACTTTATTCAACAATTCGTCTCCTCCACGTCACCCGCGTTTCGTTTACACATTGATTTGAACAAAAACAATGTATCCGCGTGGCGCAGCTGACACAGAACAGCATACGTTGTTTACGTATGTGATATTGTCCAAAATGGCGCTAGGGTGATGCGGAGGAGACAAATTGTTGAAAAAAGTCGTTATTTTTGTTTTCTTTGCGTACAAAAAGTATTCTCGTAGCTTTGTAAAATTACGGTTGAACCCCTGATGTCACATGGATTATTTTACAGATCTCCTTGCTACGTTTCTGGACGTTGATAGTGTAAGGACACTTTATGTCTATGGGAGGGCCAGAGAGCTCACAGAATGCATCAAAAATATCTTTATTTGTGTTCCGAAGATGATGTTTACTTCATTTACGCTTTGATTTGAACGAAAACAACGTAACCGCGTGGCGCAGCTGACACAAAACAGCATACTGGATGGAGAGCTCTCAGATTCCATCAAAAATATCTTAATTTGTGTTCTGAAGATGAACGGAGGTCTTACGGGTTTGGAACAACATGAGGGTGAGTAATTAATGACAAAATTTTAATTTTGGGGTGAACTATCCCTTTAATTTTGGAAACAATTATTCAACTTTTTTGTTTTATAATATCATCTTTATAATAACAATATTTTTAGTACACAGTTTGTAATTTGTATACATGAAAATATTAGCATATTTATTAAATAGGCCTATGTATTTTTTGTGTATTTGTCGGACCTGCGTGTGTGGCGCTCTGGCTGTCCGTCCATACTGGTGTGTAGCCGTGGGAACAGCCCTGAGCATCTCTTCACCGGGCTCTTCAGAGGAGACTTGGCGCTCGATGTCACTGGAGACTAAAAATATATAAAAAAGCGTTTTGTTTTTTAAAATCATATGTAGGGTTAATTAAACAAATCAAGTTATATTAAAATAATTAAAGTGAACTACAAAGTTATTACACTGTGGCTGTTACCACACTAACTTGGCCTTTCAGATCCAGTTTATTTGTGTATCTGTGTTGTGAACATAAGAAGATGCTCACAGAGTTCTTGGCAGCCTCAGTGTTGCTGTGTGTCAGACCGACTCCGCTCAGGCTGGTGGGTACGCCTCCTCCGCCTGGAGAGCAGCGGCCGTGTTTCTGGGAGCCCACCATCGCCTCCATAGAGTGACTGCGCATGCGCATCGCCCGCTGAGACCGACACAAAGACATTAAAAGGATAGTTCACCATTTTGACAAGCAGCATGTGAATATGACGGCTGATCTTTTTGACTTTATACCTTAATAGACTCCAGTATTCCTCCATGTCCTCCGTTCTCCATCCTCTCTTCATCTGCACTGAGGGGATGGCCCAGCATTGCCTGTGTGCACTTGTGTAACTCATTATGAAGGTTATCTAGCAGTTCTGTTCGTGTTCTCTCCTATTTCACAAACACAAAACATATTATTACATGTTCTATTGACACTGACCTTACTGTTTTTAAATTTGGAGTCCCAGAAACCCCAATGATATACACCATTAAAAAAAAATTGGGGCCAGTAAGAATAGAAAGAAATAATACTTTTATTTAGCAAAGAGGCATTAAATTCAATGGTCAAATGTGACAGTTATGACATTTATAATGTTACAAAAAGATTTACTTTTCACAAAAATGCTGTTTTTTTTTCTATGCATTAAATACTCATGAAAAAACGTGTCACTGTTTCCACAAATAATAAATGCTTCTTGAACACCAAATCAGCATATTTGAATGATTTCTGAAGGATCATGTGACACTGAAGACTGGAGTAATGATGCTGAAAATTCAACTTTGCCAACACAGCAATAAATTACACTTTAAAATATATTAAACTAGAAAACAATTTTACATTATAACAACATTTCACAATATTTACTTTATTTTTGATCAAATAAATTCAGCCTTGGTGAGCGTAAGAGACTTTTCGAAATTTTCAAAAACAACTTTTGATTGGTATTGTACAGTGTACAAACTAAATGAATTGCTTATTTTACTTTCTAATTCTTGTAATATGTGAAAATTCATTGTATTTATTTGTTTAATATTTAAGGTATCTATTACCCCAAATAAGTAATGTAACACTGTTAATTCATCGCTGTTAATTCACTCTGCCATATGTACATTAATTGACAGTCACCACTGATAAGCTACCACTAAATATTGTAGAAACTTAATTTGCTGTAAAGTTGCTTTGCAATGATTTGTATCGTGAAAAGCGCTGTACAAATAAACTTGACTTGACTTGACTTAATGAAGGGCGTTTAAAGAGAGTTATCATGTTTGGTTTATAATCTAATCTCATATGATTTGGAAAAGCCAAGAAGTATCAAGTATTTAAGTTTTTTTTTTCTTCGAGCTATTAAAATGGCCTTGGGGTCTCTGAGGCCCCCAATACAACATAAGGATTAACCATTCAGAGATTGTGGCGAAGCAGAATCTTTTCAGGCTGTTCAAATGTACATCAGGACTTTAATGCGGTAATAAATTATGCTCTATTGTTTCCTCACCTCAAGCTTGGCAAATCGGCTTGACCTGTAGCATGCCAGCTCTGCATTGATGAGCTTGGTCAGCAGAAACTCTCTGAATTCTGGACCCTAAGAGAGAATAGAATGACACGGCAAATATAACAAAGATGCAAGAGCAGCCTTAAAAGACAATGACATGACAAAATCTTGCCTGTAATAAGCAAATGTGACCTTCAGAAAAACAATAATGTGACAGCAAACTGGCTGCCCTGCAAAATGTCATTTTCTTTATTAGTTTTTGCTTTGCTTTCCCGTAAAAATATTGCAATATTCATAAAACAAGATCAATTTACTTGAAAAGCAAACATTCATAAAAGATTCTGAGAATACACCTGTTTTCCTTTCTTGTTTTAAGCATACCCTCAACTAAAAAGTGTTCGATTTATGCTTTAAAAATGGGCAACGTTGTAAGAAAATTTGAGATATAATCTAAAAAATATCTTAAAAATGTCTTTATATATTATGCAAATTTTCTCCAAGTAAACTAATATTTTTAAGGGTGTTGAGATATTCTAAATGGAAAACAAGACAAAAATACTAATATAAAAAAAACGCAGTGTGGAAGCTGTGGTGCAGTTATTTACCTTTTTGAAGATGGGTGGACTGGGAAGCGGAGGGCCGAACTGTGGCACATCTTCACGTGCTGTGACAGACACCTACATATAATTACAATTCAACATACAGTTAGAATCACCACAAATACTTTCCATAATCTGCAAACGCTCTCAGTAACCACATTACTTTTTGCTCAAACATTTTACTAAAGAAATTATGACAAACCTTGTATGTGGTGTCATCTGTTCCTGGGTTTTCCACTTGAACTAGAATGTAGGCATGGAGGAAATTGGAAGCGATTATGTCAGGCACAAAAGGTGTGGCCTCCTCTTGAAAAACTGCAGCCACAATATCATTCCCAATGTGGCGCTTCCTTTGGACCTATGTGTAGGGGGGAAAAAAACATACAGGGAATGACATGCTGTCTCTAGAACGGCATACCGATTGTCCCAATGTTGGATTTGTGTAGAATTCAATCATAGTAAGCACCTGCTGTGTGTCTCCCTCAGTATAGGGGAGTTTGGTGGAGACGTGAAACATGAGTTCCTGTCCTCTGAACACAGTGTAGACTGACTGAGACCCTGTCTGACCGTGAGATACGTCCAAACCACCTCGAAATCTGAATACAAGACACAAAGAGAAAGTGTTTACTGATGAAACAGCACGACTTGAATTTAAGGATTTTGTGTAGAGAAATCAAAAGCTGCCCTTTTATATATTGCGGGGTAATAACTGATTACATGTCATCTGGATTACATAAACAGATTCCAAAAATTAAGTACTTGTTTTAGATTATATTAACTTTTAAAATACTCATAATCAGACTAGTAACTAGATTAGGGCTGCACGATAAATCGAAATGGAATCGAGATCGCGATTCGACAGAAGCTGCGATTGTCATACGTATCTTTCAGTGAAGCACGGTTCTGTGATCAGCAGTAAATCTCCATCCGAAGGCCAGAGGGCGCTCTCGCGCTGAAACTCCAAATACGCCTCGCAGAAGAAACCCAGAAAATGCCTATCACTGCAGCTGAATAAACAGAAGATTCAACTGCTTTCACTGATTCAACGTGACTAATAAACACACGAATACGGCAATATACGGTTTATCTGAGTAACAATATGTTATTAAATGTGGTATTTTCACATGCTTTCAGATGGAGCAGCATTTACTTCACAGAGCCGTAGTTCACTGAGAAGCTATGCAAACAGCTGTCATTATCGCGAACGATTTCTTCGATTTCATAATCGCGCAATAAAATCGTCTGCGATTTTTTTGCGTAACTTGTCAGTGAACTACGGCTATGTGTAGACCTAGTAAATTCTGCTCCATCTGAAAGCACGTGATGATGATTTCCTGCTGATTACAGAACCGGCATTACTAACAAAATGCGCATGACAATCGCATTCGATTAATTGTGCAGCCCTATTAACTAGATTGCATGATTGTTCACACAATAGCAATAAATTATTCAGAATTTATTTATTCTCTTTCACACAAAGACTCACCAGATGACTATAATTATATAGATAACTGAGAGGCCACACAGCACAAATTCATGTAATTAAGTGATTATTAGCTTTTCATTAAACTCACGAACCCCTTGCAGTTCCTTCATGAACCCCAGTTTGGTAACCTTGATGTAATGTAATGTTTCATGTTGCCCATGTTTAAAACAACAAATGGAACATATTTTATTTGTTTTTGTATTTTTATATCAACAACATTATCCTATTCAAAGCAATGTGATAAACGTGTTGGCTCAAAAGTAATCCAAAAGTTACCTAAAATGTGTAATGTAATGGATTATGTTAATGTTAATGATTATGGAATCGGTAAAGGACTACAATTTGTAAGCAATCTACCCAGCACTGCTTTTATACATTCACACATCCTAACAAATCACATTCATGTTTCTTTTTTAAGTCTCTCTGTAAGGTTTTTTATTTTTTTTTTTACCCTTTAAAATCCTGCAGCTCTACACAGTCTCCCAGAACTCGGAGGAACTCTGTAAATGCTGGAGTTTCTTCACTGTTCCCAAACAACTCCTCCTCCGAGGTCTGTGGGCATCAGAGAGTATCAGAAGACATTATTGAATGGCAAACGATGAAGAAAACAGCAGGAAGGGAAGGGAGTGTGAAAAGATAATGGGAAATAATAGATAAAAAAAACCTCACATACTGTAACAACTTATTGATTTATTGCTTTGGTGATTCAGATGGAAGCAGCTGGATAAGAAAGCTTCTGTTAAAGTGTCCTTGAGAACCCCAGTCTGGCCGTCTTTGATATTTATAACAGCCAGTGAACTGCACACATTCAACATTGATTTTCTCACCTGCCCAAACCTTTGGTAGATGACGCCAAACTTAAATGTGTTGTTCAACTCATGCTCGTCATAATTCACTATTAATTGAGAGCCCTGCAAAAAAAACCCGAAAAAAACAAACATAAACAAAGATAAATGTCAAACAAATAATATGCTCCTCATCAGTACAGCTTTGACAGACTCTTTAGTTACACTAAAATTTCAGAAATAACCCCTCCCATGCAAAACAGTTTTTATCTCTTAAACCATCTCGCTACTGACTAAAATACTTTCTTTAATAAACAAATTGCCAAAACAGTTATAGTGCATTGCAAAATATACTAATCATTTTTAAATCTGTAATGGGTTTTTATCTGACACATTAATATCATCTTGGCTAGAAGCAATATTGTTTTAATGAAATATGCAATCCCCTCACAGACTTCATAAAACTAATCTGAGCGATAAACATCATGTAATTAAAAATATTTCAAATAAATCTTTATATTTTAAACTAAAACATATAGTGATATGTAATATTTTGTCTTAATTTTGAACAGTATATCTATTTCTTTACATTTTAAAACCTAACAAAGTAAATTTTTATGAAATGCTTTGTGTTTGTGCCAAAAAACAAACAAACAAACAAACAAACAACAACAACAAAAAAACACATTCATATGTAAAAACATTGCAAAAGCATTGTGGGAATGACTAAGGAATTATAAAACTAAAAAGAAATCAATATTTTTTAAAAACTACTGTTCAAATATTTAGGGTCTATAGGGTTTTTAAATGTTTTTGAAAAAAAAATTGCTCGCCAAGGCTGCATTTATTTGATTAAAAAATAAAGTAAAACAGCAATATTCTAAAAATAACTGCTTTCTAGTTCAATATATTTGAAAACGTATTTTATTACTGTGATTTATTAATTTCCAGTTTTCAGTGCCACATGATCTTTCAGAAATCATTCTAATATACTGATTTGGTGCCTAAGAAACATTTCTTATTATTATCAATGTTAAAAACAGTTGTGCTGCTTAATATTTTTTTGGAAACAATAATATATATTATTCCGGATTCTTTGATGAATAGAAGGTTCAAAAGAACAGCATTTATTTGAAATAGAAATCTTTTGCAACTTCATAAATGTCTTTACTGACACTTTTGATCAATTTAATGGAGCCAGACTGAATACAAATAATAATTTCATTGAAAATTAATTACAGTCCCCAAACTTTTGAACAGTAGTGCATATATAATATTATTTATAATTATATTACAATATTAATAATACAAATTTTAATCTTGAACTCACCTTTGGATACAGCACAGGACTAAATTTCAGACCTACAATGTCTTCACATAGTATCTATAGTGGAAAAACCATGACACAAAAACACAAACAGCCACTTAGTCAACAGACAGTAAGACCAGCTACGGTTCACTCATTTAATTCTTTACTGATGTCATAACATACATTTTATAATTATTATATATATTTTTTCACTTGCTGTTTCTTGCTTTCATACCAAAAACACTCACATAACAAAACACTCAAAAAGTGTTTTTTTTTTCTGCTGTGCCTGTAAGGAACACCACATTTGCATGTGAAACGTGAAACTCCAATCCGACACGGGCAGTAGGTTTACTGTCACATCCAATATATATTTTTAATACAATATACTTTGACCTCCTCCATCCTTCAATAACAGCCTCTTTGCGAAGCTACATTACTTGAGACAGACTCACAAAACAATGAGGTGAGAAGAATAAATAAACAAGTACTTGGATGTTTGGATATATTTAATGGAAAAAATTTTTAGTGCACATAAACATCAGTCTAACCTTTTAAATGGCAGACGACATACAGTACTGGTAAATAACTGTGCTTACACTTTAGAAATTATTTTTAATTCTTTACATTAATCAGTGAGACATAAGGGTCTGTCAGGGCGTTGTTAAGTGGTTAAAACCCATGGACCATCTCTGCAGGGCACAATCATTACCTTTGCTAACTGAGGGACACTGGGGAGCTCAGTCAAGCCTGCCAAAGAGATCTTGTCATAGACTGTCTTTGATGGAGTCCTAAGCGAGGCAGAATTTGATAGAAAAATGCAATCAAATGTTTCAAAATGTGCCAATCATGTAATTACACATAAGAGATCGAAAGGGCTATTATTACCTGAGAATGATGTTCAGGTACTCCTGCTGCTTCACCTCCTCGTGTCTGAGGGACAGTACGAGGTTGCCATGGTTACTGGCCGTGCAGTAGAAGTTCAGATGTTCCTAAGACCGGCAGATAAGAGGAAGCAGTTTAATTGCGAACAAATCCATCGCCAGCATAAACAAGACTGCGCTAAATTGCACCGACTGCTGATTATCACAGCTCTGACAATAAAAAACGACCTGTGAGTGATCTGTTTAAAATGATCTTAGACAAATATTTTGTCTGCCCCATACTGATATGGATTGGTTTTACTGAATGTAATTGCACAACTACTGAGTTCTCACCCTGCCCAGAAAGTGCTTGCGGTATGCGCGAATGGCATAGTTACTCTCCAGTCTGTAGCCAAACTGTCCTGAATTGCTTCCTTCTCCATTTTCCTCATCACAGAAGCCATTCTCCCAGTTTGGGATGGCAGCAGGGGCTTCAGGATCTTCTATCCAGTAACCCCCAAACTGAGGCAGGATGACCTGAGGGTATGGCTCACCCTGCTGTAACACCTTTGAAAGAGAAATCAAGCAATTAGAAAGAGAGTGACATCTGATACACAATCCTAAGACATCACATAAAGTGTTTTTAGAAGTTTATAATATTATTGTAACAGATGTGGACTTAAATTGCTATACCTCCTCTATACGTGGGTATGGAATGTAACCATCCTGCAGGGGTAATAATAACAATTTCATAAGATAATGCTGTAAATGGACATCTTCACAATGCGTTAGAAGGATGCTTGTGCTGTGACAGGAAGCGTGTTATGAGGCATATATTGCTCATGCAACTACACTATATGAGAAATTACATGCAGTCCACACAATGGTTCACAGTCATGCTTACAACAGACATTTTTACTTGGGGAAGTCGTGGCCTAATGGTTAGAGATTCGGACTCGTAACCCAAAGGTTGCAGGTTCGAGTCTCGTACCGGCAGGGATTGTAGGTGGGGGGAGTGAATGTACAGCGCTCTCTCCCACCTTCAATACCACGACTGAGGTGCCCTTGACCAACTGCTCCCTGGGCGCCGCAGCAAAATATGGCTGCCCACTGCTCCGGGTGTGTGTTCACTGCTGTGTGTGTGCACTTTGGATGGGTGCTCTGCAGAGCACTAATTCCGAGTATGGGTCATGCTCGGAATGCTTTTTTTCCCTTTTTTTTTATATGGCTGTCTGGACAATCTGAATGAACACATGCATTTGAGGGTAGGATTATTTCTTTAGTGGTTGTCTTTGTTGTTATTTTGCTTGTAAAATGTTTAAAAATGCTAAATCCATCATTTGCCTTTTTATACTGTATGCATAAAATAGGGTTCAAATGTCTGAGCCCAAGTGAAAATGCTTCTATTTTGTATTTGTCTAATTCAATACATTCTCATCATTATAAGTTATATTATTAGCATAACAATTATTTATGCTATTATTACTTAAAATTTTAAAAATTTATTTCAGAATGTTTTAGTTTTAGTATGTCCCCTTTTAGCTTAAATGACACTTAAATAACACAGAATCTAAAATATTTTTCTACATTTTACCTCGTACAGTTTTTCCCCCCAGAAATTCTAAAACATTATTTAAAATCTAGATTTAAATTTGACTTTCAGAGTATTTCAGACTTTTGAACCCACTGTACAATATATAATGTTACATACAGTACATTAATGAAGAATCATGCAATGGAAATACTCCAAGTTTGAAACACAAACAAGCACTGAGCTGAGTTGTAATCTTGTTAAATGTTTTCAAACCCTCTGACCTTTAATATTTGTGGCCTCATTTCCTCCACCTCAGAAACCTGCTAAAGGGTCAGGGGCAAAATGTCAAAGGTTGCAGTGTTAGCAACTGACAGTGGAGGAGTGGGGAGGCACAGAACGCAACTACCACAGCTATAGTTTCTATTTACCAAAGCTGAATTAACCAATTTATCACCAATTTAGCTACTCTCTCTCTCTCTCTCTCTCTCTCTATATATATATATATGAAGGATTTCATTTCTTACCTCCATCTTGTCCAGCATATCAAAAAACTGAGTAGACTGTTGGATAAGAAATATAATATTTAGGCCAACCTATAACATGCCAAGTATTTCACTCTATTTAACAGGTCAACAACAAGGCCAGAACGCAGTACAGTCTACTAAGTGTGAATGACATGCATGTAGTTGAGGAGTCTTGTAATCCCTTCTGTATTACTGCAGCAAGCTGCACTTACTGTCAGTTCAGGCTATTTTAGTTGCTGAGTTTACAGTATATCAGAATTCCTTTGAGAAAGTTAATCTGTTATTTTAACACACATGCTTTTGTAGTTGCTGATCTTATAGAATGTCAAAGGATCTTGCCTGACCAACACAAGTTAGTCTGACAATCTGTTAGATTAAATAAACATCTAATCAAAAAAAAAAAAAAAAAAATTTTGAGGTTCCTCAGGGTTCTGTATTAGGACCCTTAATGTTATATATAACCAGCTGGGAATTGTTTAGTTGTCTTTGTGTGGCAAGCTGTAATTTATGTTCAAAAAAAAAAAAAAAAAA